GTGGTGGACAATGTGACTTTGTATCCAAGAAGACGTCCTAATTCTTTTGCAAATTTGTGTTAGAACCATGGCTCTGAGAGTACAGGATGGATGGAGCAGGCTTGGCTTCAGCTCGTATGCTGCGCCCCATACCAGATACCAGGTGTGCCTGCTAATTTCAGAGAGCAGGAACTACATCCAGAGTTTCTGGAGGATAGGGGTCAAAGTCCAGTCATAGGTGGAAGTAGTCCAGAGGACCTGAGACTAGGAATAGTATCCACTTGAGGTAAGGGAAGGTAAAGGACTATTGGGACCATAGTCCGCAATAGAAGATCGAGGAAAGGCTGCCACAGGCAGAGTCGAAGGTCCGATGATATAGAGTCGAAGACTGGAGGTCCGGAGGCGCGGGAACTGGTGGACCTGGGGGTGGGAACCAACTGGAGGGCGCGGGAACCAGCCGGTCCATGGAGGAAAGGACAGGAAATAGATGAGGGAACCAGTCCCAGGTCGTCGGAGTGAGCAGAGGAACAGTAGAGGCTCGACAGGAGTCAGATTCTAGTTGATATTCATACTAAGGTACTACAGGGATGTACAGGAGGTTTATATACTGTAGGTAGTCTAATGTATCAGTAAGCAGGAATGCAGGAGGCTATGGAGGAGCATATGGAAAGTATGTTAGTAAGTATAGGAGCACATGGAAAGTCTTAACAGATCATCGAGAAATGGAGTCGGAGATTAACTGGGGACTATGGATCAGTCAGCAGATGGAAATGTACAAAGCTGAGGGCCGGAGGAAAGAGGCTATTCTATAAAAGAAAGTCCAGCAGTCTGGACATGTGACCAGTCTGATCAGCCATAGGAGTGGGACCGGGTCCGGTCATAGGAGATGGGTCTGGTGGGGTGGAACTACCTGGAAATCAAGTCCAGTGGTCCGGAGTTTGGCTGACTAAGCAGAGGTGGGTTAGGGGCTGACATGGTATATGACAGGAAGAGGATAGGCGTCTTTTATAGTAGCATCATTGAGCTTTCTATAATCTTGACAGGGTTGGAGAGAACTGTCTTTCTTTCCTACAAAGAAGAAAGGTGAGGCCTGTGGGGATTTAGAGGGAATGATGAATCCTTTGGCAAGATTTTCATCTATGAAGTCGTTCATTGCCTTTTCTTCAGGAGTGGAAAGAGGATAGATCTTGCAATCCCATGGGGTGTAATCGGGTTTTAGTTTGATCTGGTGATCAAAGGATTGGGATGGAGGTAAAGAGCTCATTGCTGCCTTGTCAAAGACGTCTTTGAATTCTCCCATGGGTGCTGGAATGAGTTCTTCAAATGTTTTTGGCTTCTCCTGTTCATGGCTATTCTGGGCTAATTCTTGAGCAATATTGGCCACTTTGCATAATGGTAATGGATCGCAGATGTAGTGAATGGCGTCAGGGAGGATAATTTCTGTTCCATTGTGAGACAGAAAAGAGAGAGGTCGGATAGGGATATCGGCTTCTGGATCAGGAGTTTCTTGAACAGAAGCTTGTTGAGAGATATGGGTAAGACGAGCCATTGTGAGATTCTTTGTGGCTTCTTTGTCTTCTTCAAGATATACTTGGTCCTTCGCCCAATCTATCTGAGGGTTTTCATTCTTGAGCCATGGGAGTCCAAGGATAATGTCTTCTCCTCTGAGGGATGTGACAAGAAATATGGCATGCATGGTTCTTTTTCTGGATGAGAAGAATAAATTGCATGCTTTCATGATGGTTCCTGCTTTGTTTCATGTTCCATTGACATTCTTGACAATGATGGGGGAAGGAATTTCATGGGTAGAGATGTTGTTCTTCCAAACATACTTCCAGTCAATGAATTCTCCAGCTGCTCCTGAGTCTATAAGGGCAGCTGCTTCAGCAGTTTTATTGGAATTGCAGGACTCAATCAAAGTAGGAATGTGCATGGAATTTGAGTTGCCTACAGATGATACAATAAGTCCAATATTGGTACTAGGGTTACTGACACCAGTCCAGCTTCCCCATCTAGAAATCTTTCTTCATGGAATGTGCTTTGAATTCCTTCCATTGAAGAAACTCCTGATATTCTGCATCTTGGTCATCTTTCTCGACCTTGGTTTCACAAACTGGTTTGGGGTTCAGCTTCCAGCCTGGAGCAGAGTTTCTATGGTTGGGGCAATCTTTGGCGAGTCCTTTCTTTCCACATTTGCAGCACAAGCCATTCTTGTGCCTAAAGTCCCTTTCTCCTTGGGAGAGTTGTATGCTTCTCATGGGGCGGTCTTCTTCTTCTTCTTCTTCTTCTTGAACCATGTGATCAATGTCCATGGCATAAGGGTCCTTCTGGGTACTTCCCCCTCCAAAGTACTTTTGGCCAGAGTATCCTGTAACAAGTGCCTTCCTGCTTTCTATGTCTGATGCAGCCATCATCCAGTCCTGGAGGGTTTCTGGGATGATCTCTTTCATCATGATCCTTTCTACAAGGTCTTTGCGGAGTCCTTCTCTGAAGAAATGTATCTTCATGTTCTCGTCATTGATGTTTGAGTTAGGAATGAGTTGATTAATATAGGAGATGTAATTTTCTACACCCCCAGTCTGTTTGGCATTCTTTAGCTTGGTGAGTGTCTGGAGTCCCAAGTCCTTCAGGTAGAAGTGTAGTTTGAAGTGCCCTTCAAATTCTTTCCATCTTCCTAAGAGGCCATCATTGACCTATCTGTTAAAGAAGACTTCCTTTCCATCTTTCATTTCTTTGTGAGGTTCATAATGACTGTGAGTGTTGTGGTAATGAGTTTCAGCAAATTTCTCCACTTCTCCTTTGGTCATAAGCAAAAGTGTGAATGCAACTTTCCTTTCTTTGGTGTTATACATGTGTTTGTTTACTCCCATATAGGTGAGTACTTGTGCAAGCCATAAGGTTGTGTGTCCTTTGGTTCTGTTGAAGACTGGCAGAAGCGCCATCTTGACCATGGTCTTGTATTCGTCATCATTGTGCATGTTGGACATGGTGTCTGGTTCTTGGAGGATGTCAACTAACAGGATAGTGTGATAGTAAAACAATAGCTTGACCTTTTGTTATGCCAAGTGTAATGAGAGGAACAAAGCCAACAAATCTATGACAAGGGAACAGCCCTTGAAGTCAAGTCAAAGTGAAGTAGAAGTCCAAAGAGGAACTTCTAGTTGAGTCAGATGAGTCAAGTGGAAATCTATGTAGGTCAACCTGAAGAATCAGCGAAGACCTAAAGGCAGTATTTATACAGAATAGATGCTATGTTCGGGCACAGGGTATGAGTAATAATAGTATGTTCTCAGTCAGCGACATGTGTATGCAAGGAGGTGATGAGGCAGTACGACCTAAATATAAAATGGAGATGAAGTACATGTGTCCATGGTATATATCGGGGGAAAAGGAAGAAAAGAAGTGTGCACAGCATGGTGACCATAACAATCACAAAATTTCTTGTTGTGTTGCTGAAAGACATTATGAAATGTAAGGATGCCCTTGGACACTACAACAAGTATCTCAACTACTTCATGTAACTTGGTGAACAGACAGACACAATTTCAAAGAAGAAATCATGAGGTGGCCTTTCCTTCCTTTTATTTTCAGAGCTACCTTCATCTCTGCAAATTTTGGGTTGCATGGTCACCAGTAGAAGTTTTAGACACAGCATGAATTCTCAGTGTCAAGCCTGATTGAGTACCTTGTACAACAAATCATCCCAAGTTTTTCAATAATCAAATCAAGGACTGCTATTGTGCTGCCTATGAACACTTTGGCCAACTCCTCTACACACCAAGCTTTCACTTCATGCACTGAGTTGTTTTTTTCTTTTCATGCAATGTGTTGTTCTTGCTTTGTATATTAGAATAATTGGAAGAATCAAGCCACAAGTACTATATCCAGTGTCAGTCACTAAAAAGCAACCAATACAGGACTAGCTACCTATGGGTGAAGCTATGTAAATAAGTGTAAACAATACCTAATCAAGTAAGTAATTCACATCATATACCAAGTAGGAGTCCAATAGAGTAAGCACCATCATAAGACAATTAACTTGCACCATAAGGTACTCAATCACTATAACTAACAGCATCATCCATACCAACTTTTGGCATCATATAATGGTTTTCATTGCACACACCAAGCTTTCACTTCATGCACCAAGTTTTCAATGCATGCACCAAGTTTTCTTTTTATACATTAATTTTTTTCCCCTTTATGCACTTTGCTTTGCATTATGCACACCAAGTTTCTTTTAGCACACCAAGTCTCATTACTAATCAATACAATACACCAAGATGTAGTACTAGTTTATCAAAATTTATTTACTGAGATCATTGATCCACCAAGTTTAATATTATTCTTCTGCATCAAATTTTTTTTAGCTATGACAAGCAGAATTTGAAATTAAATTAACTTGTTGTGAGTAGCCAGTTCCATAAATATCTGCTAAAGTATATACCACTCCAATATGTATAGATACCCTTAAGACTAATTTTATTAATTTACCTTGTCCTCTATTTGCATTATGTAACACAAGATTTGACTCCTATCTATCATTAAGCTGATACATTTCTGGGAAAGTTCCTCTGATATTATATTAAGCTGGTTGCAGTATTTATAATGCCCTTGAGGAAATTTCTCTAAATCTTGATTGGTACTTCTATTAATAATTCCCTGTTACTTTTGGCTGAATCAGCCACTCAGTAACCTTTGGCTCTGAACTCAGTTTCTTTGGACAAGTCATACATGAGGTGCACTTCCTTCCTCAAAACTGTCCTTGGCTTTATTAACTTAATTAATAATCCTGATAACTCTTTGGAACCGGTTGCAGGTAGGGAGCCTGATGGTTAAAGATGAATATGTTGGTTGATGATTCACTCTCATCTAGCAAGCCTTTGACTCATAGTGTACCTCATGCACTGTTATGCTCTGTACTGACATAAGACACAGCTGATACTTATACAATATGCTCTGTAGTAAGATATACAGTGATCATATATAGTCTAGAGGCTTAGTGCTCCAGTGATACCTAAGGCCCAGTAACTTAGTGGTTAGAGCTCCTGGCGCATCTCCAGAAGGTCCTGGATTCAAACCCCATCTTGACCATCTTTTATCCCAATTATTGCAACAAAATATTATAGGTGTTGGTAAGAATAAATGATGATGTTGGTATTAAAAAAAGTAGAAACCTGCTGGAGAACAGTGGAAAACACTAGACAAAACTGTCATCCCTGAATGCATATTAAGATGAAAAATGAATTAAATGCTGGCAAAAGACTTACTCTGTCTTAAAGGATGTCTTCTTAGAAAAGATGTGAATGAGGACAATGGTGAGAGGGACAAGGATTAGGATGATGATGAGGACAAGGAAGACCAGATGCAGGCTGATGAGAATGAGGAGCTCAATGATAACATCCTCACAATAGAAGGCTACAATGCACTTTAATTATATTATTTGTAAATTCCATTATTTGTAAATTATTAATATACTACAGCTGGGATAGATAATCTTATAGCAGACTGAGGCAATCAATAGCTACTCCCTGTCAGGATTAGCTATGTGCTGTCAGGTACTCATACACTTTGCAACTGCATTAGCATAACATAGTGTGTACAATGACTTATGATCATGACATGGCACTTCAAAGAAGCATTGTGGCATGACAGTAACTCAAATCAGGTAATATCTGCTTTGAAAACTTTTGGTGATGGTGGAAGAGGACTAATAGCACAGGTACAAGGAGGGAGGGGAGGACAGACATGAATATAGAAAAGGTGACAGCCAGGGGGATGACCATAAGAGAAGGAGGGATACTTATATAAAGGAAGACAGACACAAATGCAGAAGAGGTAATGACAAGTTGAGACAGCCATAATGGGAGGGAGGCAGTTATATAAGAGAGAGATAGACACCCATTCAGCAGAGGTAGCAGCAGGGGGGAATGGCCACACTCAAAAAGAGCATGTTGAAAGGGGGATGGGGGGACACTTATATGAGAATCATCCCAATAAGGCAATAGGGGGATGGGAATGTTTTGACCCCTGTAAATGTCTGAAACATAAAGATAAATATGGGAGACCTCCTGCAATAAGCCTACCACAGGAAATTAGGAAAAGGCTCTATTGCAACCTGGATGGCCTATGGATTTTGCTATCCAAAGGCTATCATATAGGAAGAAGGCTACAACTGTGTATAAGAGTCAACATCAAAGACATATGACCTCCAAGTGGGTTTTCTAAGTTAGCTGAGGAATGAGGCTAACTGTCATATCCAGATCTCTGGTACCTCCACTTCCACTTCAGTAGTGTGCTTCCACTGGTTCTCTGGACTGCTGTCATATCCCATATCTCCGACATCCACAAAACTCTTTCTATCAGCGCGCTTCCTCCGGACCACCGGACCTGAACTCCGGACAGGTCCGCTCCACCGGACCTAACCCCAATCTAGAATCCCCCTTACTTCCAGCCCTCCAGCTTCTATTGATATCCGCCTGCTTACTGATCTCCGGTACCTGTTTCATCTCCGAGTTCATTTCCCTATGATCCGTCTTACTTTACTTGATCCACTCAGACTTACTAATATACTCACCATATGCTTTCCTCACTGCCTCTGTACTTCGGATTACTGATCATTAGCTATACCTATAGTATATAAACTCCTGTACTTGTTGTAAATACCTCAGTTCGAATATTATACATAGTCCTACTCATTCCTGCCTCTCCGGACTTGAGTTCTCTGACTCTCGTCATTCTCTGACACTAGACTAGGGTAGACCCCTAAGTCTACTTCTGTTACTGGCTCTACCTCCGGGTAGTCTACTCCTGTTCCTTTCTGCTACCGGCTCTGGCCTTAGCAGTCCAAAGTCTTTGATTAATATCTACGGTACTACCGGGTTACATACGACCGGACTTAGTACTACCGGACCCCCTGAAATTAGGGGCACGTACTCAGGTAAGGGGCGCAGCGCACGAGCTGAAGCCAAGCCCCTTGGATCATAGTCTTCCCTTGAGCACGGTCTTAACAACTGCCAGACCTGACTTTTAGACAGGTTCACTCCACCAGATCTTACTCCCTATAGATTCCCCCTCTCCCTCTGGCCTCCAGCTTCTATGTTTTCCACCTGCTTATTGATATCCAGTACCTGTTTCATTTCTGGACTCATTTCTCAATGATCTGTCTCACTTTACTTGATCTGCTTGTACTTACTAATGTGCTTACCATATGCTTCCTCATAGCCTCCTGAACTCTGGATTACTTATCCATCGGATTCCTGTAGTATATAAACCTTTGTACATATCTGTAGTATCTCCAGTTCAAATATTATACATAGTCCTGCTCATTCCTGACCCTCCAGACTTGAGTTCTCTAACTCTTGTCAATCTCCAATAATAGACCTGGGTTGAACCCTGAGTCTATTCCTATTACTGGCTCTACCTCCAGGTAGTCTACCTCTGTCCCTTTTCTACTACTGGCTCCAGCCTTAGTAGTCCAAATCGATTCTATTTATTTGTACTACCGGGTTGCATATGACCAAACATAAGATAGTACTACCAGACCCCCCAGAAATTAGGGGCACATACTTAGGTGAGGGGCACAGCGCACAAGCTGAAGCCAAGCCCCTCGGATCTAGTCTCCCTTGAGCATGGCCTTAACATGCTCACTGGTTAGCAATTCGGGTGTCTCTGCCCTTGATTTTCTCTTACAGTGGACTGTGGTCCAGGTGTGGTTGTCACCACCCTCCACTTTGCTGGACTGTTCACTTCTTTTGTGGGCAGTCTCAAATGTCATGTTCCCATTCATCTTTTCAGCAGGTGAATTTGTTTCATTGTCATTTGCTATTTCAATGCTAATCACAGCATCTACAGCTATGTTACTCTCCCAGTCAACTGAAGGGTTGGTTTTGGGGCTACACACACTAACCATGTGACTGTATGAGCAGATGGGTTTCAGTACAGGTGGGGTCTCTCTTCTGGTCTCACTTTCTGTGGACTGCCCCACTGAAGTCAAGGGGGATCCCCTGGAGTCAGGCAGCACAGCCATAAGGCTCAGGCCCTCCACTGGGGTTTTCACACTAGATAGTAGGTTGTTGACAAGATCACTGAATTTGTTACTTACCTTGAAATTCTTTTCTTTGGCAGGTGTGCCAACAGAGCTGGCTCTTGCACGAGTTTGTAAGCAAAGATTATAGGTAGAAGTCAAAGTCATGATATGTTTGGGTTTCTTCGAGTAACATGGTGGGTCAGACCAGCTTGTCAAAGGGTTAAATAGCTTTTGAAAGAGTCAAGAAGAGGAAATGGATTGGTTGAAGGTTAAAAAATATGTGACGGCAGGTAGAAGTTGGTAAGACTTTAGATGACAGCACAACTCAGAGATTCTTTCACAGGTAACCAGATACTAGTCCGGATAGATTGGAAGAATACTAAGTAGCTATCAGTACAGTAACACAACTCTAAATATTGTCATGGTGTATGAAGCTTGTGATTAAGGGATAACAAATAGATAGGAAACACGATCACTTGAAACAGCGAGGCTCGGACCTTCAATCATTTGTCTCTCGATCCTCTTGATCCTCACAGTCTATGGTGTGGTTCACTTAGTCACCGCCTACTTTGTGCAACCGCCAATTTCATCAGCTTGAAATCCTAACCCTAACCTTAGCATATCTATATAGGGAATAGTGACTTCCAGCTCAATCATTCTTCGATATTAGTTTCGTAGTCTGCAACGGTCGAGCGATCAGTGGAGTGAAAATGTATCAAAATGTCAAACAAATATTGTGCACAGCATGAACCATCATCTATGGGCAAAAAACACCAAAATTCCGCTGCTGCTCGAGCCAGAACTGCAAGATGGAATCTCACTATGCCCTCTCCAAGTCCTGAGGCTGCTGCTGATTCAGACCAGCAATATGAAGATGCAGAACCACATAATTACATTGTCATTGAATCTGATTCATGCGTTGAACAAGAGATGGTGTTCGCAGCTAGCCACCCACAATATCCAAACCAACCTAAAGGTATCAAAGTAATTCTCAGCGAGCGTGGACTCTGGAAGTCGAACTTGCGTGGAAAGTGCTCCTCCAAGTGCGAGCCAGGTACAACAGAATGCTGCAATCAACGCATTCTCCAATATCAACCTGATTTCCAGGAACAGAGGCCTCTCATCCCAGAGATTATCGAGGCTGCAGGGCACGCATGCATTTTTTTGCTGAAGTTCCACTGTGAACTCAATTTCATTGAGTTTTTCTGGGGAAGAGTCAAAAAATACCTCCATGATAACTGTGATGGCTCATTCGAGACATTAAGGACAAACATGCCAAAAGCACTCGAATCTGTCCAGGTGAACACTGTTCAGCTGTGGGAACACTGTATGCACAGGTGGATAGAGGCTTACAGATCAGGTTTACCAACAAAGGAGGCTCAATTGCAGGTCCAACAGTTCAGCGCCATGAAGTATAAATCACACAGATGCATTCCAGAGACGGTAGCATCTTTTCAACTGATTATGTCACCTTACTACTACATACCGCCAATTTACCCGCTGCTTGAAATTTTACCTCTCTTAGATTTGATCTAAATAAAAATTTGTCTTAGGGTTTTGTTCTACTCATCAAAAGGAGTGTTTTTGTAAGAGGAAAATAAAATCCACCTTTTTTTGTAGGTGCTAGGAAGTTTGCACAAAGTAGGCGGTGACTAAGTGTGGCACTTATAAAGTGTACACACAGGAAAGAGTCGACTTTGAATAGACTTAGGTTTCGAAGCAAGTAAGAACTGGCCGAACTAAGACTGTATTCGGGGAGTGAAAGACCAACTGACTGTCCAGTATGATATATGCTAGCTTATATACGTACGGGAAGTCTTGGAATAAACAAGGAAAACGAACTAAAGAGAAAGGAGAAAGAAAGAAATAACAAGTGCCCGAAGTAAATATTGATTTTAACTCCATCTGGCTTTTACGATTGTAACATATGCCCTCCAGGTCTACTACAGGGGACCTGCTAATTGGTGACAAGCGGATCATTAAGTTCTTTTACCAGGTAGTGTCAGAATACACTCCCATGGAACCGAAGGCAGCTAATAGTATGAGGAGAGTGAGTACATTATCA